CCGGGCATATCTGCCGCAGACCATGCAAAAACATCTAAATTTTCTAGTAAGAAGCTTACCAGTTGAGATCGCAGAGGCTCCTCAATTGAAGCGCCAATCTGAGGTGTCCGAGCTGGGTCCTTCGTCAATGCCAGGATGGAGGCAATCTCTTCCGTGGGTGCAGCTCGCTCCTCGCATTGCTTCGTAGGTCGCTCTAGCTCGAGGTCGTCAGCCACCTTGGATTTCCTTTGAGGGCGGCAACGTAGCACTTGCGAGACTCAAGCTGGTCACCTCGCGCTATCCCAATTCCGAAGTCTGTGGGGAACTTCATTGCCAAATAGTAAGTGGAGACCATTGCACGTAGGGCATGGGTGATCGGCTGTCCTACTATGGCATTGAACAAGGAGAGGGGTGCAACCACTAAGAAGTCATGGTTGAGCCTCACTATGCTAGGCCAAGTGCCAATTTCCACAGGTACTATAATCCTTCCCAGGGGCCTGACTTCCTCTTCGCTAAAGCCTACCAGGGGAGTATTTGCGGGTTTCAGGTTACTTTCTTGGAGCTGGAGTTTGTCAAATGCTACTTTGAAAAGGATATCTACCGAGCTGCCAGAGTCGACGAGGACAYGCCTGACTTCAAAGTCGTTAATCTTTACCTTTATAACGAGTGCATCATCATGGGGGTAGTGGACCCCACGCGCATCATCCTCTGTGAATAAGGTTGGGTCTTATTCACGCTAGGCCCCTGGCGGCCTCACGAGCTGATATTTGAGCTGCAGCTGAGGTACAACTCACAATGACCGAACCTTCGATAATCACGTGGATAGTCCCCCAAACTGGTCTCTCTTCAGGGGGCTGCCTCTGCGGTTGTTCTGCCTGCCTGTTAGATTCAGGAGCATCTCTACTCTGTTCCCCCTGCGGTTGTTCCGCCTGCCCACAGACGACGCCAAATGATGTAGCTAGATCCGAGTACTCCTAGCTGGCAGACGTCTGGCTCCTAGCTGGCGACGGATGGTACCTGAGAGGAGGAAGGTGAAGGATTCCCAGGGAGCTCACCCGGTGGGAATACTCCAATGCATAAGTTAGAACTCTGAGAGAGCTATAAGAAATGCAAAGAGAGCTAAGAGTGYAGATAGCGCTAAATCAGTTCAATTACCTCTGTCCCTTGGAAACCGGAGCCTTTAAATATAGATGTTCTTGTCAAATTGAGCGTAACCACCACTGGCCCTCTGTCGCAGCCATTATTTGCCAGGGCTGCACAGGTAACAGTTGCAGAGTACTACCCAATCAAATGAGAGACACGACCCGGAAAGGACAGGCACGTCGCCACCTGTCGAGAGATGCGGGTGCAGTCTGCTGGGCTGGCAGGGACTGCACTGTCAGTCAGGAGACGTGGTGCAGTTTGATGGGTACGGTCTTGTCAGATAAGAAGCTTCTAGAAAACGCTGTGTCGCTCAATAGCGACCTGCCTTGTAGTGAGCTGCTTTGTAGCGAGCTCCTAGAGGTATTCTGAGGTGATTCCGCCTAAGATTGACTTTGAGGCGGTCCTCTTGCCTAAGTATTGGAGCGAGCTGATTATCCCAACGTACCCAGATTTGTGTCTCGAGGCTATAAAAAGAAATGTCCAAAAGATGACTTTTCTCTGAGAATAGGATTTCTTTTTCTTTCAAGGAGTATTGCAAGACACGTGCTAGCAACTTCCACTTGGGTCTCCCCATGGCCACGTGTCAAAGGTGGAGTTCCTAGACAATCGTCATGTTTAGATAGCTTGGCAATCGCCCTTAGAACAACTCATCAAAGTTCATCGCGATCAACAGGGAGATTAACGACTTTCRTATGTTATAGATGATGTTTTATGCGTGACAGGATCTACTCCTCACAAATGGGCACCTCATAGGCATATCCACCATGCATTGGGAACATCTCCCGTAAATAATAACCATGCATTGAGGTGCTAGGTGTGAGATTTTCTTGTGTGTCTCTTATTTATGGCTCTTATCATAAATTCCATGCCTCCATGGTATCGAACTACATATACTTACTGTTAGACAGTTTTGTATGCCCTTAGCTCCAATTAGTTTTGATGTACTTTTGACATTTAGTGTAAATGAATAAAGTGCATGTTTGATTCATGTTGTGTAGTATGTTTCTGTGTAAGACCCTTAAACTGGACACTTAATGAGACTCGTGTTAGTTTAGAATGTTCACAGTTGTTGGATAAGTCTGGGGAGATTTATCCTGCCAAGGCTGACACTGGTATGCTGCCAAGTGTTGGGGTGGCCTGTCTCAGCTGCCAGGGTGAGACCCAAAGCACATGCAGTGTGGAATTACTTGAATCTTTGAACCGGACCAGATTTCCAGTATTGCCTTGGACCTTGGTGATTGATGGGCAAAACTAGAAAGTTACACCTGACCCCTAGAGTCGATTATGATACTGCACTAGGTGTCGGATTGGGTTGTCTTTGATATGCCAATCAGTGAGATCCTTAGCAGGGATCAAAATCTGGGTACGTTGGGACAGTCTGAGAATTCATCTGAGTGGGTGATCATAGTGACAGAATCAACCCCTTTGTCGGACAAAGGTAATGATCGGGGATGCACTCTCTCTGATGGAAACCAAGCTGCCGGCAGTTGATTTCAATCATTGGAATTTTGTTTTGCAAAATTTCTATATATGATATATAGATATGTATGGTTTCAAAATGTTTGCAAATGGTTTTAATTCCTGGGATCCATAGGAGCAGAGAGTGCAACATTGTTCCTTGCAGCTGAGGGAGAGGTCCTCTCTTGTCGGATAGTGTTTGATCATTATGGGCTGAGAGGTTAAGTGTAAGGCCATTTAGGGTTACACCTGATGGGATAATCTTGCATCTACCCACAGTCCCTGGGTTTTTATAAGATGGTTTGGCCTAGGGACCATTTAGTGTAAGTGTTGGGCCCATAGAGTCCATGTGATGGGCTCAGGGRGTTCATTGGGCTCTCTAGTGAATTCGGCTAGGCCTTGTAACAAAGGCTGGGCCGTACCCATGTGGCTGATGTGTAGATCAATGCTTGGGTCCCACACCATACAAAGAAGCCCAACTGGGCAGCAGTTTGGAAGCCTGTTGAGCACTTGATACTTATTGGGCCTAAAGCCCATTTCGAACTGGCTGGTTTAATTAGCCACTTAAAGGGGCGAATTTCATATTCAAATAAAGATTTGAATCTAGTAATCTCTTGATAAGGTCAGGAGTGGGCTGACCTTATCTGTAGATAGGATTAAGATAATTCCCTATCCAAATACATATTTGGATTAGGATAACTCCTAATAGGATTAGGAGGTTTCTTGATCACTAAGAAAGAGGAGAAACCCTATTCTTGAATTACTAGAATTCGATCCAAGGATTTCAGCAAGGAAGAACCTCCTCCTGCAATTTGAGATTGGATCTTAGAAACCCTAGAGAGAAGAAAAGCAAATACGCCAACTTCAGCTCTAGAGTTCTTCTTCAGCCATCGCCGCCATTCACTGCCTAGTTCGATCTCTCTGAGAGGGAAAGATCAAGAAGGTGTTCTTGATATCAGTCTTTGCTGAAAGGCTGATTGTGTACAGTGCTCTTCGCTTCCATCGAATTCTTGTGAAGAATTTGGTTCGTAGGACGAACATTGCTGGTTCTGTTCTAGTATCAGTGCGTCATGTTCAGTGGGAGCAGATCTTGGGAGTATTCTTTGGGCGTGAACACTGACGTTGGGAGATACCGATTCTCCGTATCAGGTATAACCTTTCCCTTTCTGTTTGGTTCAGATCTGGCCCGATTTTGGTTCGATTAGATCCTTGAATATTGTATTGTAAAACCAGGGAATATGATTCCCAGTTTGAAGGGAGGAGAGAAATTTTTGAAATTCGTCCACCCCATTCCGCTGCAATCTTGGCGTCCATACGATGGATCTCTCCCTCCTTTCATTGAGGCGCTAGGTGTGAGATTTTCTCGTGTGTCTCTTATTTATGGCTCTTATCATAAATTCCATGCCTCCATGGTATCGAACTACATATACTTACACTATGTGATAATCTTTAATTAGGGACTTAAGAGTAATTGTGAAGGAATTTTTTGATCCATTTTCAACATTATTTTAATCTTGGCCACATGTTGAAGAGAATAGAATGGGGATTCTAATCTCAAGGTGGAGTGAAGATATTCATCTCCTAATTGGATTTGGCCTCTTATGTATGGAAATCCTAATTGGATCTCACACTCCCTACACACCTACCTCTCTCTATATAAGATATTAAATGGTTCTAGAAAATAAGTTCATACCCTAGAGAGATCTGGCTGACCTGCTCCCACTGGTATCCAACAAATCTGAACTAGAGTGCCATAGGGCTAGTAGGAAGATAGTGTAATTTATGTTAGAGGACCATTTTGGGTTGCTTGAATTGTATATGATAGAAGACCTTTCAGATATGATTTTCAGCCTAAAACTTGTAGATCAGCCATTAGAAGGTAAGATTAAAGGAGAAACATTTAAAATGGCGGGATTCACAATATAGATCTTGGGTTTACAGAGAAAATAGATTTGCTTTCGTTTCTGTTTTATTCAAAATGATTTTAAATATTAAATAATATATTTTTTAAATTTAGAAAAACTAATTATTTTTTAAATTATTAATTAATAAATTATGCTCAAATTAATAACTATGTAAAAAATCAAAACATATGAATTTTGATGTTAACAATTTCAAACCAAAAAAAAAAAATCATCGATAAGGGTTGAAATTGTAAATTAGACATTTATTGGAAGTTATAACATAATAAACAACTTCACTATATTTAGAGATCTGAAAAAGGAGGAAATTAAGAATTTTCACAACTCATAGTTCATAATTGTTCTCAGAATTGCTTTTCAGAAATAAGAGTTCAGATTACCAAATGCCAGTTTAATTAATTTATTTTGTACTAAAAGTATTATCACAAGCAAGGCATGCAGATTCTATAAAGAGAAAAAAAAAATATATATATATATAGATAGATAGATAGATATACGTAGTGTAGTAAAACTCCCTTAAACCCCTCAAAAACAAAAAAAAAAAAAACAAAATCTAAGCAGTTGCATCAGAGATTGCCACAAATCTCTTATAAAGAAAATGGCTTATGCCACAGCTAGATTTCTTCTCCTGCGGCTGGATTTTTGAGGCTGGCCACTTGTTCCACAATGCCAAGAAGATGGTAACATCTCCTTTGTAGAAGCTTTTATCTCTCTCATTTCATCCAGGAAGATTTGTCGGCAGCGGCACTCTTCACTGCAGAAACATTCGTCACCCCTGCAATTGGTATGAACAAACGGTATAAGATCGATCATATATACAATATTAACTGCTAGAGCTTCGAAGATCTACACTGTATTAATTAGATCATACGCTTTTTCTGTAGAAGTTAAATTTCGTTGTTACCTGTACATGTATACGTCTTTCATGGGGCTCAGCTGCTTCTGGCACAGATGACATGATTTGAGAAAGCGATGATCAGATTCCTGTGATCTTGGAGTAGTTCTGGGTATCCTCAATCTAAACGCTGATTTGACGATGGTGTTTGATTGATCACCCCGTGAACACTGTATAAGAATCCGTAGGCCAACAGGATCCATAGATCTCATGGTTGAACTTGGATGGCCTGTATCTGTATAGGAGGATTTGCTCTTTCTCTTACTCTTTATCAACACTCTCACTCAAATTCATGGCGTGCTTGCTACTGCTTCTGTGGAGCATGAGATAGAGAGAGAGAGAATAGAATGATGAAACGGGGGGTTAGAGTGATAGAGATATATAAAATCTCTTCGTGTCCACACAGGTTACATCACCTCCATTATATATATATTTGTTTCTTCTTACTCTTCCCCACATGTCTATTTTCTTTTCTGGATATACTTACATGTCATGGATGCATGGGTCCCTTGGAAATGCTTACAAGTCTTGGATTGGTCCCTCTAATCAAGTGCTCAATGTCTTGTCTACCTCAGCTATAAAGTCAGATAGCATTAGATTATACCATCTGCCAGATAATATCACAGAAAATTCTAATATTAAAATATATCAATTATTAGAGAATTAATTTTCTTATTCAAATTAAAATTCCACATAATTTTTCTAATATGATTGCAATAGCCAGAAAATGAAAGAAAGCCGATTCTTTTATAGGTACTATATAAGAATTTTCTTGTTAAAAGAGGAAAATTTGGTTCAAAATGCTAAAAACTAAAAAGTAAAAGAGAAATCTTCACTTTACTCATCCACTTCACAAATTTTTATCATTTTCTGATTTTATTTTCTAAAACCCCACCTTTGGTACAACAGTACCCATCCATTCTATTGTGCTATATTCCCCACTACTCCCTATTCTCRTCTGTACAAATAAATAATAATTTGTTAAGTAGAATGTTGGAGGGAGATTTAAATTTATAAGAATTTTTCTCTTCCTCTTGTTTTTTGTTCTTTCCTTTCTTGAATGATTTTTTGTTCCATATTGCTTGGAAAAGGAGTGAGAATGGAGTATATTTATAGTTTTATTCTCTATGGGTAGGGACCCATAGGAGGAGAGGAATATAGATATTCCATGCATGTGGTTTGCGGAGGTCTAGTAAGCGAGTGCAGGCCTATCAGTGGCTTGTGGGCTGTTTTATCTTGGCGACCAATTTGCGGTCACCCGGTTGCACCATAGGGGGCAAATACGATTTTAAGGGGAGACTGATATTCCCAGTTCTGAATTCCTGCAACTTCACACCACTACAACTTCGGTTTGGAAAGGGATTACCGATTCCATTCTACCTTTCTATTTACTATTTTTTACAACATAGAAGAATCTAAAAATTTTTCAAAGTAAAGAAGGGAAGAGCATGTCTGTTTCATTATGAACATATTATGTGAATGAATGTTTTTCAACACAGTGAAAAACACCCGTTTGCAGGATACAAAATAACAGTCCTTTCCTCCCTATTTTGAAGTTTGATATCAAATACCTCTCTACTCTAACGAGATCTCTTGAAATAAGAGTTTATTTCTATGGCCGATGTTTGGTTAAATTATCAAGGTGTATATTAGAACGGTTTCTTATTATTATAAGATGTTTAAAATAAGGTTTTCGAATCCCTGTTGACTCRGACGGTCCAACCGTTTAAATCGGGACCGTCCAAGCAATTGGTTCTATTTTACCCAAAATCTGATTTTTGGTAATAAACCATTGAAAAAGTCAACAACTTATTGATTCGGGCAATCAAACTGTCGACCTGTTCAATAGTTTTGACTGTTTTATTTTTTTTAATTTATTTGTCAAAACGAATCATCCGTTTAAACCAGATAATCAAACCGTTGACCAAAAACCAATGACCAGAATGATTCTGTTTGCGGGTTATTTTTTAAAACGTTGGTTTAAAATGTCAAAAAGTAGTAAAGGGGACACTAATATATTAGTGATTAGTGATGTGATGATGCAATTAATTATTAATTGGAGCAAGATTTCAGATATAAGTAGGAATTTTGAAGGATAATCAAACACACTGAAAATGGATAATGAACATGGATCTGCTACTGAAGCTTCAGGCTTCAGAAGAAAAACATGATGCCGAAGCACCATGATCGGCTAAATAGTTTGATAAGTACATTATTTGTGAATTTCAGCTTCAAAAATAAAAAACCCAGTTTTAGGGGATGAGTACATTATTTGATTAGTTAATTTGAAATACGTTGTGGTAGGTTTAATATTTCCAAATTCTACCTTAAGGATAAAAAGAAAAAAGAAAGAAAAAATTACTTGTGGAATACCCTATCAAGCACTGAATGGTCATGAATTATTGAAGAGGTTCGTTGGGTCAATGTCATGTTCATCATCACTTTCTATTGCCAATATGCATACAGCTTTGCCAGTTAAGAGATGACACCAAATGAATCTAATCCATTTAGTTTCGACACTTGTCATGGATTGAAGATGTTGGGTAACATATATAATTAATCGGTCCTTATCATGTATTGTCTATGCAAGAAAAAGAAAAAGAAAATTTAAATGTTCAGAAAATTCAAATTTTGAGGTTTTTCTTGTTGGTGAGTCTCAATCAACAAATTAAATGAAGATTTTTTAGAAACCGGAATTTGGGTTATTTTAGTAGTTTGGATCAAAATGAAATAAACCAAAATTTCATTTTTGGCCATAAAAACCAGCAAGATCGATATTTAAATATATAAAATAAATATTGTTAAAAGTGTTAAAACAAAAATTTGCCAATAATAAATTTGCTTATTATTTACATAGATTTCAATTAAGTATTCAAAAATGAGAAACCAGGAGGGGATTAAAATGAGAAATCAAATCCGAAAGAGAATGAAGAATTGTATGTTTTGTGTTAAGATAAGCTTTATGGTTTGAAGCCCTAAATTAAGCACAAATCCCCAATTTTATGTTTTGTGTTGTGGAGATTAAGAAGTGTTGGCTTTATAATGTTTTTAGAAGTAACTGTTACCAAACATTCAAATCACTTTTTGGTTCACTTTTAATTTGTTCCCCACAACCCGAAGCTCAAAAGCAGAAGCTTATCCAAGAAAACTTAAATTAGGCTTAAACTTCGAATTAGAATACTATTGATATTAGATCAGGATACTTGATCGATGGATGCTTAAGGCCTTATAAGCCTACTAATAAACAAATTAAGGACTTGCGTACTCCACAACCTTTTGATTTGTTGAACTTCGTCAAGCTCTTGAAAAAGATGAGAATTAGGTATAAAACGGAACTGGTGATCGGAATCTCAAGTCCTTAATAAGTAATGGTGCTGCATTACTCAAAAAGTTCATTGTCAAGGTTGTTGAATTATTCTTTAAAATTTCAAATAAAATACTTACCAAAATTTCGAATAAAAAAAAGAAAAGTGGAGGCAATGTTTTCGAATCGTCGTTGATCTTGATGGTCGGACCGTTCGGTCTAGAAATCATTTAAGCAACCGATTTCGTTTTACTTCAAACTTGATTCCTGATCAAAAATCGTTGAATTGATCAACAACCTATTGATCCGTTCGACCCAATCAATGATTTTTAGCAATTATTCTTTATTTTAATTTTTAATTTTTTTTTTGTGAGAACAAACTGTCTATTTGAACTAGATGGTCAAACCATTAATTCAAAAGTCAGTGGCCAGAAGGATTTTAGTTCCGAATCAATTTTTAAAACATTGAGTGAAGTTGCTTTATATCTAGTACTTTAATTTCATGAGCTAGTTTGAGGATGACCTAATAATTAAGAGTGGTTTTTTGTAACACATGTTATTGTTAAACTAATTTTAGCAAAAGAATGACTGATGGTTTGAAAAATTGGCGAGTCCTTATCTACTTTTATGAGTCTTATCCTTAAAAGATTAAAGCTACAAATATTCTAGTGCAGGAGACAAAGTGCATATCATAAGATGTTCCCATAACCGTACTTTGGTTCATTCACTTTCACTGACTACTTATAAATGTGGGAGCTCTATTTGAAATTTTGAACAGATCACAGGCCCAATCAGCTAGCTAGCAGGCTCCCAATTTAGTTTGATATAAACAATGGATAGTTATAGTGGTTTTAATGGAGAGACACAATTGCAGTTTTATTAGTAGCTAGGATTAGGAAGAAAGAGAATAGCTACCCTTTTGTCAAGCAAAGTCACTAGTGGACAGCACTTTATAAGGCGGAAAACTATCCACTTATCTTTTCCATAATTACTGTCCATTAATTCCAGAATTTATCATATATCTTGTAGGACTGTCAATGAATTGAATCTTCATATGCTAGTTGTTTTAATCTGATTTGATTAAACTGGAAATGGGTTGAATCTAGATCTACTTCATCAATTCATCTCATCATAATCCGCTTCCATAAATTACCATTTAATACTCATTTATATATAATTAAATAAAATTGAAGTGTATATATTTGTTTTATTTTATTTGGGCTACGAAACTAAAGTATATTCATTAGTAAAGTTAGTTGATAAGATTAAGGCCCTGTTCGGTTCACAGGAATAAGGGATGGAAAACAAAATTGGAATGGGCTATTTCAATTCCAACTGTTTGGTTAGATGGAATTGGAATCCTATTATCATTTCTATTGAAATGGCATTCCCCCATTTGAAGGAATGGTCATTCCCTGTCCCTCCCTTGGGAATGAAATCTCATTCCTGTTAATTCCAATTCTAATTCTCATTTCTATCTAAACCAAATAGATTATAAGAATAAACCATTCCAATTTCCATTCTGAAAGATTTCAATTCTAATTCCCACCGCAAACGAAACGGACCCTAAATATCAATTCCCATGCATTGTCTTACTACTTCAATATTCAATATTTTATAATTTACGAACAAAGAACAAAAGATTTCTTTATATTATTTATTAATTAATTTATTAGCATTGAAACTTAACTTTCTAGCTGCTAGGATCATGTTGTTAGGTCAGATGGATAAATGATTTATTTAAATAAAAAGAAATATAGTTGACTTTAATCAACCTGCAGGAAGAATTCCATTGGTGCCAGATTTCAATTCAAGGCTTTAGTGCCTCCACCTATAATTAAAATCGTAGGCTTTGTCAATTTCCACTAAGCAAAAGTGCCTATGAGAAAAGATACCTAAAAAAGACATACATACATGGTTTTATGTTGGTCTGGGACTTGAGCATTTACTACGTTAAAGACGTCCTAGAGAAACTGTTATTTCATTTCAGGGATAGCACAAAAAGCCGGCTTTATGATCTTGAAAATAATGGCACAGAAATGGAAAAGCAATTTCCATGATTAATTTGAACAAGGTTTCTCTTGTTCTATATATTTTCTTTTAAGATAACTTGTAGAGCTTACATGAATCAAAGCTCACGAGTTAACTGCTCAATAAGAAATTTCCAGGACATTGAGGATCAAGATCTATCATTGGCTCTGATAATATTTGTAAAACCAATTAGTCAAGGGGACATTGTTAGACTAGGCCCTTTGGGATTTGGTTGTGGCCATATAAAATCAAGGGAAAATTTCTGATTATTACTCTGTAATTTGGGCTTAGTGCTATTTTGATTTCTGAATTTTAAAATGCGACAGTCCAGTATCCAAACATTCAAAACAATGCCAATCCAGTACCTGCCGTTAATCATCTATCAGTTAAATGTATCACGTGATGAAATGTGCAATTTAAAATTTTTGAAAGTGTCAAAATTATCCTTTAAAACACTGTTCATCATCTTCTTCCTCAGAAATTAAGATTGAATTGAAGCAATGGTGAACAACCCCAAACCCACCACCAAGGTTTCAAAACTTGTCACATTTGTTAGCTAGTGATTTGAGGGGAGTTATTTGGTTTTTGTAGGAGTGAGATCATTACCATTCCCCTCAAAATTTTACCTAAAACTTATACCTCTGTTTCATCTTCTTAAGGAAGAAGATGATGAACAGTGTTTTAGTTTTGAGAAGGGCATTAATTTGGATGGTTGATAAAGAAAATTAGAGGACACCCGAAGGATATTTGTGTCTTTTTACATGCCATTTAACGATTAGGTAATGGTAGGTACTGAATTGGTACATTTTAAAAGATTGGGTATTGAATTGTCGTGCTTTAAAGTTTGGAAGACCAAAGTGGCATTACGCCCAAAGTATAAGGTACTAATCAGATATTTTCCCTAAAATCAATGGTCATTTAAATTTGAATTTGTTGAGATCCAATTTGAACTCCAACGTTAAAGAAATTAATTGATATAATCTCTCAATTTAGTCAATTCAAATTTAAGTTAATATAAAAATAGTTAATTGATATAATCTGTTTTTCATTAATTTTTAATTTCTTCCTTGACCTTTCCGGTTTAGTCCACTACAAGAAATATGAGCTTTAGCTACGGAAAAAACCGTGGCTAAAGGTAAAAAAAACCGTAGCTATAGACTTATGTTACGGTTTAGCTACGGATAAAAAACCGTAGCCTATGTTCGCATGGCTATAGCCTATCGTTATGATTGAACTAATCCGTAGCTATAACCCATTTATAATTACAGTATCTATTCATAGCTAAAGGGCAGATGCAAGTTATATGAGCCTTTAGCCATAGATTGAAATATAGTTAAAACATGCATATAACTACGGTTTTTAAGTTGTCCATAACTAAAGCTTTTAATTTATAGCCACAGTTTGTTACAAAACCTAGTTAAATGTACCACTTTATAACCGCAATTCTACCAAAACCTAAGCTAAATACATTAGCTTATAGCTACGATTTTTGACCTGTAGTTAAAAACTAGAGTCTATAGCCACGGTTTTAATTATAGCTAATTGAAAGCTGTGGCTATATTCCCATTAAAATAGTAAAATAGGGACACCATCACCTTAACGGTTAAAGCAATAACTATTTCATTCATACGTCACATGGGAATTATATAATAATTTCTAACAAATGATTATATTATTTTAATAAGAAATTACATGCCTTGTATAACTTGAATACATCCATTGTTTTACCAAAAAATAAATAAATCCATTGTTTAAAATGTATTTCAAATGTCAAATTTCCCTTAATACATATTAAAGTCTACATAATAATGTTAATAAAAAGAGAAAAATTCTAAATATAGCAGAACTATCCATTGTCTCCAACCATGCTTTAAGAGTCGTTCATTGCATATTTAACCTACAATGAAAAACAAAAAAAAAAAGTTAGAATAATGATTACTTTAATAATCTAATTAAATATGCAATATACAATGAAAAATGTAAACAAAAAAAAAATAGGTAACAAAATCCAATATACAACAAAATATGTAGAATAAATTTTAAGATTCTAATTAATTGGGTTTGGCGACTTGGAAAAAATTGTGGACATATGGCAAGGGTAGTGCTTAGGACAGGTCAGTAAACTATGAGAGTTTGACTAACCAAGATAGCTTGATGATGGTGGGATATGGTGATGGTAAAATTAAACTATTGGAATATTTTCTTGTTCAAATAGTTGGCCAAACAAAAGAATAAATGCAAAAGCTTAAACTGAGTTTGTGAAGTTCAAATTCTATATAGTTTTACTCTTAATAATTGGCCAGTGATAATTCAACATGTCAGTTCCATATAAGGTCCATGTGTTATGCTGGCATGGTTTGTCCTAATTCACCCAGTATGTATCCTCGGGCTCCTGTAGAAGATTAAAGATCGATATGAGGATACAGTCATAGTTGATTCCAAATTTTAGACACATGGAGAGGCAAATAGCCTATGGAGTCAATGAACTAGTTTGTATGAAGTTTAAGGACTAGTTTGAGGATATAATCATGTCCAATAACAAGCATGTTAAAGCTATAGTCATAACTAATATGTAAGTTGAAGCAAGCCAAGACATAAAATGTTAAATTGATAGTATTGGGCAGTTGGAGCCTTGAAAACTGTCAAACCCATAATGAGGTCCTCTATAGCTGGGTCAATGAATGCTTTATGTTGTACAAATTTTCATTTTTATTTTACATTTTATGTTTGATTGTTTTGAGTTCTAACAAGGAAAGAAATCTACAAAGAACATTTCAAGCCATTGGACATCTGAGGAAGAAAAGTTGTTTCTCTTCAACTAAATATAAAATTGTTGTATACTTGTCTGGATTGGTATGAGGATATGATCATGTCCACTAATATGTGTGCTGAAGCAAGCTAAGATGTAAATGGTTAATGATGTTGAGCAGTTGGAGCAGTAAGGTGTCCCAATATTATTGAAGTGTTGAAAATTTTGGCAAAATGAATTGCAACTTAGGGGATGGATGCTTAACCAAAATAGTTCATACAAGGCAGCCTTAAAGACTAGAGTAGGGTATCCAATCTCAAGCCTAGATGCTGCAAGAAGATAAAAACATGAATGGAGTTTTGCCGTGGACATATGAGTTAGAACCTAAACCAAAGCACCCTATACAAATAACAAAATTAAGGGACTGCAAAGAGCTATTGTGTTAGGCCTAGAGTTTACTATTACATATGTAACTTGATAATAATCACAATACTTATAATCCAAGACCTCAGTTGTTAAAGAACCAAGATGTAAAAGGTTAAATTGATGATGTTGGGAAGTTGGAGCTGTAAGGTGTCCCAATATTATTGAAGTGCTGAAAAATTTTGGCAAAATGAATCTTAGGGGATGGATGCTGTACCGAAATACTTCATAGAAGGCAGCCTTAGAGACTAGAGTGGGGTATCCAATCTGAAACCTAAATGCTGCAAGAGAAAAACAAGAAGGGAGTTATGTCATGGACATATGAGTCATCAAAACCTAAACTAAAGCATCCTATACAAATGGAAAATTTAAGGCTCAGTCCAGAAAGAGTACAAATACAAATATGTATAGTACAAATATATACAAAATAATATATAATACAAGGTTTTGTACTCTAATTTGTATTTATACTCCTTCCAAACTGAGCCTAAGGGACTGCTAAGAGATATTGTGTTAAGCCTAGGGTTTACTATTCCATATGTAACTTGTTAATAATCACAACACTTATAAACCAAGACTTTAAAGAACCAAGATGTAAAAGGTAAAATTGATGATGTTGGGAAGTTGGAGTTGTACCCAATATTATTGAAGTGCTGAAAAATTTTGGCAAAATGAATTGTAACATAGGGGATAGATGCTGTACCAAAATACTTCATAGAGTGGGGTATCCAATCTGAAGCCTAAATGCTGCAAGAAGAGAAAAACAATATGGGAGTTATGCAATGGATATATGAGTCATCGAAACCTAAACTAAAACATCCTATACAAATGGAAAAATTAAATGTAAAGATTAAATACAAATATGTACAACACAAATATTACAAAATAATAAAAAATACAAGGTTTTGTACTCTACATATTTATATTCATACTCCTTCCAAACTGAACCTAAGGGACTGCAAAGAGATATTGTGTTAGGCCTATGGTTTACTATTGCATATGTAACCTGTTAATAATCACAATACTTATAAACCAAGACTTCAGTTGGTAAAGAACAAAGGGTTTACTATTCCATAGTTTTTTGTCTTTGTATTCAATATAGCTTGCATTATAGGTGTTTTATGATAAAAATATATTAAAATAAAGAATAAGATACAAAAAGATGAGCAGCCCGGCCAAAAGAACCTTACGAGTCACCCCAATTGATAAACTATAATAATTCAACCCAAAACTATGCATTATAAATACTCATCCTACCAAACCAACACCCCAAAACAGAGGCTCCTACCCTAGCCCTAGAGGGGCAGATGCATTGTAAGTTTAACTTGAACCTAATATATGACTACTATAAAATCATGCATATTATCTTGGCTAAGCCCGAGCCACAATCAATGCTCATAGAGCCAAGTAAAATTATAGAACCCTAAAACCTACAAGGTTATGCAAGATTTGAATAAGAACACCACTAAATCCACATTAAAACCAATGAAACCTAACAAATAAAGACAAGAAAACAAGAGAAATAATAAAGAAAGAGGGTGGTGCCCCTGTTTTGCTAGAGGTAACAATAATCTCTAAGGTTCTCTTAACAAATAACTGATAAGCATACCTAGAATGAGGGTAGATACCTATTCAAATTATGATAATGAAGAAGAAAAGTAATGCATCGATTGCATACATTCAAACCAAACCAAAAGAGCACAAAAATTAAAATAAGAAAATGCTGAGAAGCTTACCCGATTGCTCTAAACACCAAAATCTGAAGTGGACAACAAAAATCAGAGGAACATGTGCAAAGATATAATATTGCGCAGACAACCAATTATTCGATTCGAGAAAAAAGCGAAGCTAAAATATTGAGTTTTTTTTAAGGGGAATTAAAGCAGATGGTTGAACTTGGGAAAATTGAATCAGAGTGAAGAGGTGTTTTAACAAGGAAACGGCCAAATGCAAATAGGTTGCATGCGAAGGAAAAAAATCTTGTAATTTTTGAATTCCAAGTGCTACAAGAAAGAAAGGTAAAATGGACTATGCCTTGGAGCGAGCGAAAAAGAGATTGAGCGATTCGGTTGAAAGGGGAAAAGGGGGTTGCTAAAATCAGAGAGGAGGGAATTAAATTTGCTAAAATTTTTCAAATGCGCGCTTGAATTCAAATGGTAGGTCTCTCAATCATGGTTAGTGTTGTTGACTTAGATGGTCGGACTGTTGCCGCCCAAAAATCGTCCAAACAACTAATTCTGTCAATGTTTTAAAGATTGGTCTGAAGGTTGAACCGTTTTTGCCTCTATGTCGCGGGTCATTAGTTCGGTCATCTGGGTCAAACAGGTCAGATCACCCCAAATGTATATATATATATATATATATATATATATATATATATATAT